GTTTCAGGAAATATTTTGTGATTATTTGAATATTTACATTAATAATGTTTTTAAACAATTTTAATGATTTTCAAACAGCTTGCTCTTCTACAACGATAATATAGAATTGGTTTCTCGACAGTTAGTCTTTCCATATTGAAGTTTTTGATTGAAAAAAATATTATTTTCAATCATTCTGCATCTATATTTTCTTTAAATTTATCTCATGATTTCTTTTTTGGAAACGTAAGACTGCTGTGAAAAATTGAAATTTTAAATTACATAATATTGTATATAGGCTATTATAAACAAATTTCTTAAATATCAGACNTATGTTTATTATTTAATTAGATTGATATTTTCGTAAATAATTAGGTCCATTAATTGTAAAATATTAATTTTTATTTTGTGAATTTTTTTGAGAATTTTAAAACTATTTATTATATATTCGATCTATAATAAGTATTCTATATATTTTTGGGGGAGTAATATTTTCATTAAAATTAACGTCATGGTTAAATCCAGGAAACGTCGTTATCAAAAATTATAAATTATGTACTGCATCTATACAAATACTAATTTTAATTAGAAATTAATGACACACGACTATTTGTGTTCATTTAATGCAGTTAGATCGATGCAAGTTAATGAAAAAACTATATTAATTTTAAACTGATCGTTAAATCTGATTGATTATGTAATTTAATTATTATTAAATAATGTAACGTCATCCTATATTTCTTTGTCTTGTACTGTACATATAAAGTCATCTGTTCTTCATCCTTTTTAAGTTAGAATTTATTTAAACTGTAGTTAGGTAAGAATTGAATAGCTGAAGCAATTATTCTTGCCTAACATTTTACTTTTGTTATTTTTCCAGTTAAACTATATTACAGAATTCTTATTTGTTATGGTTTTATTGTAATACAGACTGAGAAAATATATCTGATTGGTATTAATTATTAAAAACATCGTCTATACTTATAACTGTTAATGTAGTTTAGAAATAATTAGTTTTGTTCCATAAAATTTTCCATATAATTGGTCTATCGTATGATCCAATAACATTAAAAACACACGAATTACGTGTTAAAACATAATAAATTCGTTTATCCATCGTAAACAGAAACTTTTAAAATCATTTATTGAATTATTTCGATAGTAATATTTCAATTTATCCATTCCTAGTAATGTTTTATGCGATGTATTTTTCTTGCCAAAGACTTCCCATTTCGACTACGAAGAAAACAAAAAATTACTCGGTGTGAATTTCAGTTAGCTGATAGGATCGGACTATAACGATCGCTACGAAATAACGATCGGCGTGACGTACGAATGCGTGATTCGTCCCACGCATCCAAGATTCACTGGGGCGAGAAGTTCGCACCTGAACACTTTTCCCGGAAACTTTCTCTATCCGTGAGTAAAGATTCAAAAGAAGCCAACAATTTGTACACGGAATGTCGACGACATAGTCATCTCGTTACAAAATAACCCCCATATACACTTTTACCTTCTATTTTAATCCTCAAAGCCGTTCAATTTATACTAAAGAACAGAAAATGTTTTCTGTCAACAAATTTCGAATTCAATGAATATTATATAATAAAAATTTAAGTAAATTGTGGTTAAATTATAAATTTCAAAAATGCGAATTGAAAGTTACTAAGTAGACTTACAAAACTACCCACACAAAAATAGAAACTGAACATATTTAACTGTATTTATATATTATTAAAGAACATTTTACAGCTATCGCTAAATTCATTAAAACAAAAGAAAGACAATTTAAAAACAACAATTTTTGTTTGCAAAAGTCAATACACTGTGTTCGAGCCGAGCCGCGAAATTCTAAAAATAAGTATATGATATGACGTCATCAGCACGTGTGGCGGAAGAATACCCGCGCGTGTTGGAAGGTCCTGCTGCACTTTGACCGATCGTTGAGCAAGAAGCGGAGCGCGCGAGCTTTGCTTCGACCCTGTGCTGGAGCGTTGAGGTAGGTGCATCTTTTGCTCGACAAACGGATCTTTTGTTTTACCGCGAATCTTTATTGCTTTATTTTGATTGGTTGGAAGACGATATCAGTTTGTATTTTTTCGTTTTTTGTAGGTTAATTCAGATCGAATATACTGTAAATGTAATTAAAGTTAATAAACATTGATGAGTTGCAGACAGTACTAAAGAACATCAGATAAAACAAATTTTAAGATATGCGGTCGAAACGCTTCAACTATTCGATGCGTCCTGGCGGCGGCCAGCCGGGGCCGTGGAACGATGTCTATGCGACACGAATCTACGCGCACAAAGTTTCGCTGCGGGCCATTTAAGACGAGATATCTCGATTTTGTTGACAAAAAGAGCAGTTTTACATTTCATATACACAATTTCGGGCACAAATTTCATTTAGAAGAAATCTATTTAAAATAATAATTGTTATTACATAATTATAAAATAATTTGAAAAGATTGTAAATTATTTTAAGATCTTTTATTACACCAGATGGAGCTATATTTATGTCTTAGTATAGTGCCAATGATTGGGAATCGATAAACTGTCAAAAGAAAAAGAAATTCCGACTATTCGGTTATCGGAAATAGAAAATGTGAAAGTTACTGCCACAAATTAACTAAAATGTCCAATGATTGAATTTAAAAGTTATCGAAAATAATTTTGGAATATTTTGTGATCATTAATTTTCCTGCCATAAATTTAATGGAAGATTTAAAATAAATGACAAAATTGTGTTCGGATATTGGCTGATAGCTAGAATGTGACACCGATTGTAAAAATCCATTTTTCTGACTTTGTAATTTTTGTACAAATTTAAATAAAACAAGTTTTTAAAAAATATAAAGTTTACTATTTTTTTTTTTAGGGGTTTTTGTAATCAGTTTAAGAGATGATTTATTTAATAGGATTTAAATTGAAATTATTTTATTATAATAGACTAATGAAATTCCCATTCCTTCTTTTAGGTCTACACTTAAATTACAATATCCTAAATTAATTTATAGGATTTTCTGTATTCTTGATAATTATAGATTTTGATAATAAAATTATTGACCCGTGCCGACGTCATAACTTTAAAAATACTGTATATATATATAAACTAAGCAGAAGAAAATTTTCATTTATTGTAGGTTAATTCAGATCGAATATACTGTAAATGTAATTAAAGTTAATAAACATTGATGAGTTGCAGACAGTACTAAAGAACATCAGATAAAACAAATTTTAAGATATGCGGTCGAAACGCTTCAACTATTCGATGCGTCCTGGCGGCGGCCAGCCGGGGCCGTGGAACGATGTCTATGCGACACGAATCTACGCGCACAAAGTTTCGCTGCGGGCCATTTAAGACGAGATATCTCGATTTTGTTGACAAAAAGAGCAGTTTTACATTTCATATACACAATTTCGGGCACAAATTTCATTTAGAAGAAATCTATTTAAAATAATAATTGTTATTAAACCGTCTGTGTAAAGTTAATTATTAAAATTCATGATTTTATTTTTTTAATCGTTATAAATATATGTTTATTATTTAATTAGATTGATATTTTCGTAAATAATTAGGTCCATTAATTGTAAAATATTAATTTTTATTTTGTGAATTTTTTTGAGAATTTTAAAACTATTTATTATATATTCGATCTATAATAAGTATTCTATATATTTTTGGGGGAGTAATATTTTCATTAAAATTAACGTCATGGTTAAATCCAGGAAACGTCGTTATCAAAAATTATAAATTATGTACTGCATCTATACAAATACTAATTTTAATTAGAAATTAATGACACACGACTATTTGTGTTCATTTAATGCAGTTAGATCGATGCAAGTTAATGAAAAAACTATATTAATTTTAAACTGATCGTTAAATCTGATTGATTATGTAATTTAATTATTATTAAATAATGTAACGTCATCCTATATTTCTTTGTCTTGTACTGTACATATAAAGTCATCTGTTCTTCATCCTTTTTAAGTTAGAATTTATTTAAACTGTAGTTAGGTAAGAATTGAATAGCTGAAGCAATTATTCTTGCCTAACATTTTACTTTTGTTATTTTTCCAGTTAAACTATATTACAGAATTCTTATTTGTTATGGTTTTATTGTAATACAGACTGAGAAAATATATCTGATTGGTATTAATTATTAAAAACATCGTCTATACTTATAACTGTTAATGTAGTTTAGAAATAATTAGTTTTGTTCCATAAAATTTTCCATATAATTGGTCTATCGTATGATCCAATAACATTAAAAACACACGAATTACGTGTTAAAACATAATAAATTCGTTTATCCATCGTAAACAGAAACTTTTAAAATCATTTATTGAATTATTTCGATAGTAATATTTCAATTTATCCATTCCTAGTAATGTTTTATGCGATGTATTTTTCTTGCCAAAGACTTCCCATTTCGACTACGAAGAAAACAAAAAATTACTCGGTGTGAATTTCAGTTAGCTGATAGGATCGGACTATAACGATCGCTACGAAATAACGATCGGCGTGACGTACGAATGCGTGATTCGTCCCACGCATCCAAGATTCACTGGGGCGAGAAGTTCGCACCTGAACACTTTTCCCGGAAACTTTCTCTATCCGTGAGTAAAGATTCAAAAGAAGCCAACAATTTGTACACGGAATGTCGACGACATAGTCATCTCGTTACAAAATAACCCCCATATACACTTTTACCTTCTATTTTAATCCTCAAAGCCGTTCAATTTATACTAAAGAACAGAAAATGTTTTCTGTCAACAAATTTCGAATTCAATGAATATTATATAATAAAAATTTAAGTAAATTGTGGTTAAATTATAAATTTCAAAAATGCGAATTGAAAGTTACTAAGTAGACTTACAAAACTACCCACACAAAAATAGAAACTGAACATATTTAACTGTATTTATATATTATTAAAGAACATTTTACAGCTATCGCTAAATTCATTAAAACAAAAGAAAGACAATTTAAAAACAACAATTTTTGTTTGCAAAAGTCAATACACTGTGTTCGAGCCGAGCCGCGAAATTCTAAAAATAAGTATATGATATGACGTCATCAGCACGTGTGGCGGAAGAATACCCGCGCGTGTTGGAAGGTCCTGCTGCACTTTGACCGATCGTTGAGCAAGAAGCGGAGCGCGCGAGCTTTGCTTCGACCCTGTGCTGGAGCGTTGAGGTAGGTGCATCTTTTGCTCGACAAACGGATCTTTTGTTTTACCGCGAATCTTTATTGCTTTATTTTGATTGGTTGGAAGACGATATCAGTTTGTATTTTTTCGTTTTTCATTCATATTTTTTAATGATATAATTTAATATTGTTTATATTATTGCCGGATTATATATCTGTAATGAATTGTAAATTTTTGTGTGTTTATTTGTTAAAATTTGAAAATTTATTTTGCAATTTGAAATTTTTAGATGTAAGAAAAGTCTAGTTTAAAAAATGTATATATGTAAAACACTTGTTGCGTTAATCCGTCGGTTATTATGACAATAGTTTTGAAATTCTAATGAAAATTAGAACAAGTAGATCGAAAATAATATTTTCCTGATTATCATTTCAAAATATTCGTAATTTCTAATGATTTTATAGAATTTTTTCAACAGATCAACATTAATCTGATATAAAAATCATTAGTTTAAAATTAGTGTCTTTCTGAATGTCGAAGAATTGATATGACTTTTTTTTCGTTTTTTTTAATGTTGGCGTTAAATGAATCGATTTGAGTAATATTAAGATTATTCTCGTAAAGAACATTTTTTTTATTTGTTTTCTACATAAATAAATTGGGCATATATTATGTTTAAAATATAACTAATTAATTAATTTAAAAAATCTGTATCGATATATATTTTCAGAGGTTATTTGACCCGAACGTGGTGATTTAAAAATTTTTGAACTTTTGAAATTTTTAATTTGACAAGTCGGGTGACACTTGCTAGACAGGAAATGACGTCATAACGCTAGCCGGTACTGTGAATTAAGTGACTTGGGACTGCAAGGTGGTTGGCATGGAGACGTTTCCTGCACGCGGCCGGTTCCCACCGCACGCACTCTCCCCTGACTCCGCCTACGGCGCGTGATGAGCGATGCACCTGTTCTATTGCGGAGGTTTTCTTCTCTTGTACCCCAACCATTGTGTGTGTGATAAACGTGGGCGGACACATATTTCTAAGATTGGCGCCCCAAAATAGACATATTCAAGTCGAAAGTATTTATAATTCCTAATTTGTATAAAATTCCCTTTTTCTGTTGGCGTTAGAAAAATTCTAATAGACCCTATCACACGGCGTCGTCTGGCCCGTGACGTCATTTAGGATAATCACGTGAGAAACACGTTTTCTGTGAAAAACCAGTGTTGGCGAAAGAAAAAAATCAAGAATTAACTGTATAATGAAGTTATTACTCGAATATTCTCTTTGAAAATATTTTACAACTAGTCATTAATTAATTATTTATGTAATGATATAATAATTTTAATTTCATTAACATTTTTCATATTCGCATTCTTATAAAAGTAGGCGTCATTTGAATCGTTGTCGATGGAATAAAAAAAAAGCAATGATGTCTCCGTCGCCTTTCGTCCGAATTGTCCTCTGCAGTAGAACTGGATGCTGTTGTTTGGTTGCTAGGAGACAGAACTCGCGCCGGTCGTTATAGCAACCGATCGAAGAATACTCTTCTTTTTTCCTCTTATCCGCTGCAGAATCGAAGGAAAATAATTTTTCTCGTGCTAAGGATTAAAAATCCGTACAAATGAATTTATAGTTTCGAAACTAATATCCCAATAAACTTTAAATATTAAAAATTTATATTTTAAATAAGTGAATAATATGTATTATCCGCTTAAGTACAAAAACTATTTTAGTTAAAGTCGATCAAACGTATTTCCACGGATAGTTGTGTGACGCGTTTCTTTTCTTTTTTTTTTAACTTAGGATCTTTAAATTTTTATTTAGACGTTTCAAAATTTAATTTTTATTAAATTTCAATCCCTCAAATTACCGTGATGTTTCCTCTTTTAGCGCAGAATGCGTCTCAGGTCATGATGATGACGTCGAACGTGCGCACGTGCAAGTTGTTTATTGGGAAGTTGCCATTTCTTTGGCAGACTGTTAGCTGGGCGATTTTCGGTTAAAGCTTGGATGATGCGGTGAGTGGTAGTTCTGCTTTAAACAATTAAATAAAAATTAATTAATCTGTCAAGTGAAATTAAGTTTCTCTGATCGATGGAATACACCTTTTATATATATAAATAGAAGCGTGTATATATACTTACATATAACAATTGAAAGAAGTGGAAATAATGCATATTAATTTTTCATTTACTTATCGTATTTTAATGTTATATATTCATGCCAAATATTGCCACCAGGTGGCTCTGTTATTCGTTACATTAACCAATAAATGAATATAAACTGAAATATTGTTATTCTCGAGATAATATTTAAACTTTCGATTAAGGAAGTGTTTCTTTACTAACAGAATTTCGGTCATATAGATATATGAAACTGAAATTCTGTTAATGAACGGCATAAAAATGGTTCGTGATCTTGATGATCTGTTCTATTGATTAAGCATCACAGGTAGATGATGCTGCCTGAAATAAATTTGATATATATACAACAAATATGTTCTTACATATAACATACTATATATATAATTAATCTGAAATCAGAAAGGTCTATAAGGAAACTAAAAATTTAATAATAATAATGGATTAAATATTTGAATGAAGTAATAAGTGAATTTGATAATCCATTACATGTTTTTTCAATTATTAAAGCATTTGTATAGATGTAATATGTTATTTATAGTGAACTATGAAACTAATGAAATCAGAAATGTGAAAATATGTAATGGTGCTTTACTGTATTTCTCCAATTAAACTGAGATTCAAATAAACCCTAGTCATTGAATAAGCCCTGGGGAATAAAGGTGCTGTTAAAAATAAATCCCAGGTTGGGAAACATGTTGAAGTATTGCACTGTATAGGGTAATGTTTAGAGTGGCAGGTAAGAAATTTAACTAAAATAATCTTCAAATTGTGTAGAGTTGGCCCATGACGACATTTAGGATAATCATGTTTGGCTCATGATAGCACTTTCCATTTCAAAGTTCATGGAAACATTTTTGAAATAAAATTATAAATGTCAAATATTGAGTATGGGAAAGTCATGATTGAGTTTATAAGTAAGATTCAAGTTCAGAGCTTATTAACTGAAGGTTAATTAGGAAAACTCAAATTGGAAAGAGATGGTGAGTTTAAACCAGAAGATGGTAGTCAAGATCTTGATTCCTACAATAACATCAAAACAAATATGAATAATGATGTAATAACTGAACTGGAAAGCATTGAATCTGGTTAACTATAAAAATGGTAATATTTTCAAATGTAACCTATAAATACAGTGAGTAAATGGTTTTGATAGTTAGAAAATATATGAGTAATTAAGATATTTTTAATTTTTACCTAGTCATCTGTTGCAGCCTCAAAAAATCCTGAGTCTTCAAAATAAAACTCGGGGATATTTATATTTTAAAGAAATCTCCTTGGGTTTAATCATGAAAATTCAGTATGTGATAATTTTTTATTAGATAAAAATAGTCCATGTAGAAATTAATTTTACTCCTTTAATTTTTCAAGTGCTTGTTTTTTGAGTTTTATATTTTAATTTTCAAATTTTTAAATGAAAAATATATATGAATAAAAAGTTAAACATAGTTTTTATAGATTTAAAATTTTTTAAAAATATGACTGGATTTATTTTAGACAGAAAATTGAATAATAGCTAAACTTTGTAAACTTTCCAAGTAAATTTTTTTATCCTATGGATGTGTTAGTGCAAATCTATTATTGGTGACAAATTGATTGGTTTAAAATTTTTTACAGCTGCTCATTATTGATATCCTGCTCAATATATATTTTTATCATACGTTGATATGAAACAGATTGTATTCATGTAATTGATAGTAAATTTGCTATATATGATTATTGAGTAATAAAAATATATAATTGTATTTGATATGTTAATTATGAGAATAATTACTGTTAATTTAATTAAAAAACAATAAATACAATTCAAAAAATATTATTTTTTTGACATTTTAAACATTATTGGAGACGGCTTTCATTAGAGAATACTGTAATCAAAAGATTATTGAGAATTATGATTACTCAAATAAAATAAAACTTTCAAAACAAATTAGAGTTGAGGAAACTGAATTGCATTAGAAAAGTCATATTTAAATACAGACATACTCTCATAAAGAAAGGAAATTTATTTCCATATTTTATGAAAATATGAAATTTACAATATCAATATACAGTAATGGATAAGTTGATATTACTTTATACAGTAGAACCCCCTTATATTTGCAGTAACAGATCTGCTGAACCAAGGTAAAAATACATTGATTTGGTATCTGAATCTGAAGAAAACATCCACAAACTACAGATAAATTTTCTTCAGGTTCATTATTGAGATCCATTCTAACATGATTATACTGTACAGTAATAGATTTTATGATATAACAGATGAACTTGTAATAATGAGTAATCATGATAAAATTAACTTTTATTATTATGGATCAATTTCTTCAGTCCCATGGTTGTCCCATGGATATGTTTTGTTGAGCTTTTACTGTATATTATTTTTACCCTACATATGTTAAAAACAATAAATCAATTTGTCAAATTTGATAATTTTCTAATATAGAAGTTTCCAATTTTGTTCTGTGGTACCCAGGGTTCTGCCAATAAAATTTAGGGTTTTATGATAAAATTTGTTTTTCAGCTTTCATTAATAGTTTAAAATATGTATGAAAATTACTTAAATTAAATTTCATACTTATTTCAAACTGTTAACAAAATTTCAAAATTATTACTATTCTATAGTAAAAACTAATCTATGCATAGACTTTGCATAGTACATGTTTGTGGAAAATAAAATCCATCAAGTCTAATGATGGAAGAATCAGATCAGGTATTCAATTCATTGTATTCATTCTTGGAGAAATTGTTGCTTGGGCTAGCAATATTTGAATACTTATGTGTTTAGCAAATACATTTGATTCTCCCATCATAGTTGAAATCCCACATCTGCTGACAAAATCATCTACAAAAATTAATCCTTTGCATTAATTACTAGTTTTAATTAATAATATTTATTAACTATTAATCTGTTTTTTTATATGTTTAATAAAATAATTTTTTGTTTTTTGATATGTTGTTTTATTTATAATCTGTAAAAATTAAGTTTCAAAACTTTTATCAAGGTGAAAAGGATTCTGCAATTGAAATAAGTTGGAACCACTGATCTAATATTATAAATTGTAATTGTGGTTAATAGTTTTGTTATTTGAAGACAAATTCTGATGCTGTTTTTAATTTGATGAAGTGCTAATAAATTTACAGTTGTCAACTGCCCCAATTTAGAGAGAGAAATTCTACATTTTGTTGGAATAGCAAACTTCTAATTTGTAATTTTTATTGATTAGTTAATAATATAAAACATATAAAGTAATATTTCTTGAATATATTTTTAAAAGTACAAGTCAAAACTCTAAACTGGATATATAGTATAATTTTAATTTACTTGTGCCAATTTAGATAGTAACTGATACATTAGCTGGAGAAGAGAAATAAACAATGATTAAATTTGATGATAAATACTAATATGTTTCAATAAGTTAAATATTATAATATTATAGAATTTCTTTTTGTTTTGTTATTTACTATAATTACAGTAGCATTTTATTTTTTAAGTTTTATTTAATAAACTATACTGAAATATATTTATATGCAAAAATTTGTGAAAGGAATAGTTTGTTCACAACAAAAGAATTAAATATAATAGTAATAAATATAAATTTTTTCAAATAATGTATGAATTATTCCATATATTGTACTTAATGTTTTATTTTTTTGGAATTTATAAAAATATTTATCTGTTAAACTGTGTTTTTTTTTTTTTTAGCTTTGGAGGATGCATATAAAATACCAGCAGAAATTGTATAGAATAATGATGT